TGTGTGTGTGTGTGCAGGACGGTCAGACAGAGAGACAGGCAGAGGTCAGGAGTTGAGCGGAGATCATCACTCACACAGACAATAAACGCATTGAGAGTGTGTGTGTGTGTTGGTCAGCGCTATTGAGTGGGTGAGTGACACTAATGACCTGTGATGAGCACAGCACTTCTCTCTCTCTCTCTCACACACGAGGTTTAACCTCAAGCTTCTGTGCATTTGCTCTCCTGAAGCGTCCAGACGTCCATCAGAAGCTGCTCCAGATGCATGCAGCATATCTAGCGGTGTGATGTAAACTAACCAACACTAGTGCTGCGTGTCACATGATCAGTGATGTCATGAGTGCGGCACGCGGGCCTCGTGTCAGACGATCATCCAGCATCTTCACTGGAGCCAGACAGGAAGTGCAGCGTGAGGCGGGGGTCAGGAGCCAGAGGTGAGACGCGCTGCTCCTACTTCCTGTGCGCTGATGTCATCAGGGCCGCTAGAGTGGGTGTGGCGCTCACAGGCATCTCCGTGGCGACCCCTGGGGGCCCCTATTGTGTGTGTGACTTTGTTCAGGGTTAATGTGTGTCAGTGCTCTCATTACACACACTCTGATACATGAGCTTCGCGAGTATCTACATGTGTCATCAACAGATGTGAGATGTTCCACATAAACAACAGAAACAAATGAAGACAAGAACAGAAACTGCACAGAATAATTCACCCAAACATGAAAATTAAAGTAGTGCATCTGCTGTTGTCTCTCACGTCAAAATCCAGCCACATATTTGTTTAGAGCTGTTTAAACGCTGCTTGATCTGTGCAGATTTCTCTCCTGATTCACACCAGAACACTTTTTCACTGGAGGAAGCGTTATTATGGATTATAGACTCGTATCTGAGTTAAAAACGTCTTAATGCTGGATTTGTTTCAACTTTTGTCTTCTCCAGATGTTAACTGATGGACTGGAGTGCTGTGGATTACTTGTGGATTATTGTGATGTTTTTATCAGCTGTTTGGACTCTCATTCTGACGGCACCCATTCACTGCAGAGCATCCATTGCTGCGACACTGATGCAATGCTACATTTCTACAAACCTGATGAAGTTCAAAGCCGTTATTGTCATATGCACATTTTCTTGTACAGTGAAATTCTTACTTTGCTTTCCACTCTGAATGCCACAATAGAAAAATAATAAAGTATAAGATGGAACATATAATCGCAAGTAAGAACAAACTCATCTTCATGTTGGGTGGCCTCAGGGTGAGCGTCGTTCCATGTTCGGGTGAACTCTTCCTGGATTAGTCTGTCAGTCCTGTGCTGTTTGTGCTGCGTGATCTTCAGTGATCTGCATGAGCTGCAGGACACCGCAGGGGGTCTTCTGTGATGGAGCTCAGTGAAACAGAAGCGCTAGAGGGAATCATGGGGTGTGAATGCTGCAGTGATGTTTTAACGCCTCTTAGGTGTGTGTCCTCGTCTCATCACTGACGCATCAACACCCATCAAGCTCCTTCAAGAAGATCAGGTTCACGTTCACTCAGCATGATTCAGATCGGCTCCTGCTCCTACATTCTTAAAAACAAAGGCTCTTCATTGGCTTTGATGGTTCCATGAAGAACCTTTAACATCCGTGGAATCTTTCGATCGCACTGAAGGTTCTTTAGATGATTAAAATGGAAAAAAACAAGCATTGGATTTAGTTGTAACATAAGTCTGGTATCAAACTGGTGTTCCTCATCATCATCATCATCAGTGACGTGTGGACAGCAGATCATCACACACACACTCACACACACACACTCACACACACACACACACACACTCACTCACGCACACACTCACGCACGCACTCACTCACACACACACGCACTCACACACGCACACACACATACACACACTCACATACACACTCACACACACTCACGCACACACACACACACACACACACACTCACTCACGCACACACTCACGCACGCACTCACTCACACACACACGCACTCACACACGCACACACACATACACACACTCACATACACACTCACACACACTCACGCACACACACACACACACACACACACTCACTCACGCACACACTCACGCACGCACTCACTCACACACACACGCACTCACACACGCACACACACATACACACACTCACATACACACTCACACACACTCACGCACACACACACACACACACACACACTCACTCACGCACACACTCACGCACGCACTCACTCACACACACACGCACTCACACACGCACACACACATACACACACTCACATACACACTCACACACACTCACGCACACACACACACACACACACACACTCACTCACGCACACACTCACGCACGCACTCACTCACACACACACGCACTCACACACGCACACACACATACACACACTCACATACACACTCACACACACTCACGCACACACACACACACACACACACACTCACTCACGCACACACTCACGCACGCACTCACTCACACACACACGCACTCACACACGCACACACACATACACACACTCACATACACACTCACACACACTCACGCACACACACACACACACACACACACTCACTCACGCACACACTCACGCACGCACTCACTCACACACACACGCACTCACACACGCACACACACATACACACACTCACATACACACTCACACACACTCACGCACACACACACACACACACACACACTCACTCACGCACACACTCACGCACGCACTCACTCACACACACACGCACTCACACACGCACACACACATACACACACTCACATACACACTCACACACACTCACGCACACACACACACACACACACACACTCACTCACGCACACACTCACGCACGCACTCACTCACACACACACGCACTCACACACGCACACACACATACACACACTCACATACACACTCACACACACTCACGCACACACACACACACACACACACACAAACTGACTGGATGCTGTGAGAAATATAAGCACACCATCACCAAAAAATTACCACGGTAACCATAGTTTATGCCAAAATACCAGCTACTGTTACACGAAGTTCAAGAGATTTGAATGAAATAAAACATTTACATTTTTAAAAATGCAATATATTAAATTGTGCATGTGAATTCATGATGCTTGCTGACAGATACTAGACCAGAGACTCCTTTCACAGTCATTCATTATGATTTCACTGCAATAACTACACATACAACTATGATTACCATAGTAGCCTAAAATTAATTTCGATTTCAATTTAAAGCATTTTATTTGCATGATTTCGTTTACATACAATGTTGCCAAAGCATTATAGCATAAAACAATTAATATTTAAACACTTACTGCCTTGATCGAGTTAAATTGTGTTCCTAATATGTTGATATATGAATGATTGACAGAATATTGACATTACTTATTGCCTTATATATCTCTCTCTCTCTATATATATATAGTGTAAATAGACATATTCAGAACAAAAAAAAAATGTTCTTCAAGGCAGCAATTGGTTTGCAGATGAAAAATGAATTGATATCATGTGCTTTAGAGCTTCTACAAACTCCACCATAGACACAGAGAGAGAGACCTATAGAGAGAGCTGTGAATGAGCCGCTGTTCCTTCATGTGTTTGTGTGTAAATGTCTGTGTGTGTGAGTTTCACTGGTGTATTGTGTGAAGTGTTACTGCAGTCACTCCCTGTTCACATACAGTGTGTGTGTGTGTGTGTGTGTGTGTTTGTGTCTCTCTCTGTGTGTGTGTGTGTGTGTGTGTGTGTGTGTGTGTGTGTGTGTGTGTGTGTGTGGAACTCAACGACTCTCTGATGATTTGACCATCAGATAGTGTTTCTGAGCAAACCGTCTGTTATCAGACACATGAGCACTGGCCCGATACTCTGCACATCATTGGAAAGTGCATTAGGATTCATGAAAACTTCCTTCTAAAGCTTGTTCATCTACTCTCCTAATGAGCCTGCCACGAACTGCTCTGGATAAAACTGTCTGTTAAATGTATATTTTAATCTCATGACAGCCTGAATATATGTCACATTTTCTTTGGGTTAATGAAACAGGATCTTA